TTATAATGGTGGTGAGTATTGTGCTAAATGTATATGAGCATGAACAAAAACATGCTTAGAAAATAAACTTTTACCTCCGTCTCAATGTAGAAAACATCCATCAAAATCACTTCTTTATGATGAATATGTCTCTATAAGGATTGCAAACTATTTACAAGCAACAAAATTTCAAGTAAATCCTCAGCTTATCAAACAATTCTTTGAAAACCAAATTTTTCCTGAACTTCATATCGATCAAGCACAAACAATTTCTTTAAGCACAGCACAACGTTGATTAAGAAAAATGGAATTTTATTATAAACAGTATCAAAAAGGTGTGTATATAGATGGTTATGAAAGAGATGACATTGTAGCGTTTTGTCAAAAGTTTTTACAAGAAATAGAAAAATATGAAAAATTAATGCCTAAGTGGAATGATATCAATTGTGAAGTTTGTGAAGAGTTATATCTTTTACCTGATGAGCAGAAACATATCTTCATTACTTATGATGAATGTACTTTTCACTCTTATAATGGCATTTATAAATTCTGGGCACCTGAAGGAGAGCAACCATTAAAAAAAAAAGGACTTGGCCAAGGACTTCATGTTAGTGAATTTTTGACGGAAACGATCAGATGATTAAAAGATAGAGAAGGAGAAGCAAGAGTAATAATACAATTTGGTGCAAATAATGATGGATATTGGGATGGAAAAAAATTATTACTTCAGCTAAAAAATGTCATAACAATCTTCGAATGGACTCACTCTGGATATATTGGAGTCTGGGTATTTGATAACGTGACAAGTCATACTGGTATGGCACCTGATGCACTAGTGGCTGCTAGAATGAATCTGAATCCTGGTGGTATGCAGTCAAAAATGAGAGATACGACATGGAACGAAAAGATTCAAAAAATGACATATCCAGATGATTATTATGAATCTTTTTTACGATCACAACCAAAAGGAATAAAGACTATTCTTATCAAGAGAGGTCTTTGAAGAGAAGTGATGTTAGCAGATTGCAAGTTGTGTAAAAAGAATGATCCAAATCCCGATATAACAAACTGTTGTGCACGTCGTCTTCTTGCGAACCAATCTGATTTTTTGGCTGAACGTGGATTAATTTAACAAGAAATTGAAAGGCATGGTCATAAGGTAAATATATTTTATAAAAACTTGATTCTTATAACTAAATCATATATAATCTTATTTTAGATAATATTTTATTCAAAA